TTTTTTTTTTTTTTTTTTTCTTCCAAAAAGTAAGAATTCTTCCCTACTGGCTGCTTTAACTGGTGTTCATGTCACAGTTTCCCAGCTACTCAGCCTACAAGGAGAAACATAATAATCTACAAGGACTGATTCCAGTTCCCGATTCCACAAAGAAGCTATCTATCTAGAAAGAACTTTTCTCTACTAAACAAGCTACCACTTCGTAGTCTAAGGAAAGGTAGTTTATACAACCTTTGTTGGGCATTTACAGCTCAAGGAAGACAGTTTATGGCAGCTGGGCTTTGAGTGTGTGGCTCATCATGAGGAATTCAGGCAAGACGTAGGGAAGGCTTGTGCTCTTGCTGAGATGAGTTTCAGACTAGATGAGGCTATGCTGGAGTTTAGCTCAGGGCTGCCGTACAGACTTTAAATGCTCTGTCCTTGCCACGTTACAGGCACACCCGCTTGTAGCCTGCTGGCCTGAGGGTATACTTCCAAACCCCTGACATCAGAAAGACTCTAGGACTCACCACATTTTCTCCTGTCTTCAGCTGAGACAAATTATGGGCCATAAGGCCAAGTTGTTCTAGCTACAGCCCTCCCTATTGCTCTAGGTATGTCTGATCCAGAAGCCAGTATTGCTGAGGGACAGACACGTCAAGACTGGGGAAGAGAAGAGCTCACCTGCCCCACCCTCACCCCCTCAAAAAACCACAAAAGCCAGAACAGGCCATAGGTTGGAATCTTTAGACTAAAGTGAGGATGGCTCCTCTCCCCCTAATACCAGGCAGCTCTATGCAAGAAAGCACTGCTGCCTGCCCACCTTTCTGGGGCAACATCTGTACCAAGAGCTTTCCCAGATTCTGAGTGTTTGTTAAATGCTGTCCTGTGCCAGCCCTCAGGACCAGACAGGGCAGTCCACTTCATTGTGTAGCCACCTGTCATTTGGGAATCTAGCAATTCATGTGAAGTGCCTCATTCTTGTCAGAAATCTAACATGAAACTATCAAAACGGGCACAGGTGCAACACAATGCTGGTTTTCAAGGACGATGTTAACTGTAATTACATACCCATGTACTGTATGCAGAAAGTGTGGCCATGTCCCTCGGCCCCTACTGAAACTAGAAAGCAATGGGCTTCGTTCCAGCTACCTGTATGTCAGGAAGCCTTATTCAAGACGTAACGTGACATAATCAGACTATTAAACACTAGCTCTGACTGAAACATCCCGCTGCCTCCTCCAAAGCGCCATACCGCATCAATTCTAAGAGGCCCATGTCTTCGCATAGGTAAATCTCGTGCATCTCACAATCACTGTCAGTAGGTGGCAGTTGTGACGCGCTTGTCACTCGTTGCCTGACTCCTAGTAAGATCAATAAATCCAGCATCAAAACTTGCAGAATGGGTGTCAGTAGCTTAGAAGAAAATTCTGGAGTCGACAGTGGAATATGCTTTTCAGGAATGCTGCATCACCAACGCTCACCACAGCACAGAAGACAACATCATTTGGGAAAACACAGACAAAGGACAACTCGGGGGCAGGGGGCTGGCAATTTAGCTCATCTGGGAGAACATGATAATAGTAACACCAAGGTGAAGGGTTTGGATTCGTAACAGGCCAGCTGCCAATAAAAAGAGAGGTTCAGAACATCAGACGCACAATGTGAAGTTTTAGGAATATCTCTCGCATTTTCCTTTTTGTATATGAATGGATGATGTGTGATATGATGGAAGTACATCTAAAGAAGTCTTAAATGCTCTTTCAATAATTATAAAAATTCAAAAAAGCATTTTCATAGATCTAATTGGCATTTTTCTTAAGAGTTCACAAAATAAAGGTGTGTGTCTTGTAACTGCTGGTGTTTGAGATTCTATTATAATACTCTCCTCAAGAGGTCGGTGTTGCGGGGAGCCTGGGAATCCACTTTAATATTTCCTCAAGTGTGACTCAGCCAGTCGTTGGGCAGGTCAGGGAGCCGCTGCCTCGTGCTACCGCTCGAAAATCTTGGAACTTCCCCGCACAGGTCTTCAGGCCAACATGGGCAATGAAAGAAAATCAGTGTCATTACTTCAATTTTTTTTTTTAATGAATTTGTGAAGTTGCCCAATGTCACTTCTGATTTTTTTTAAATAAAGTTGCAATTAGCATGTTCATCTGTTTTGTGTCTTCCCGTGGGTCATTTCCGGTCTCGTGTATTAGCACAGCTGCACACTTACGGGGCTCTGTGGTATCCTCAGATGTCTGTATTATTGTTATTGAAGTTTACTTTATTTGTTCTTACTACCATGGTGTATTGTCCCCAAGTGGAAAGAATTCTTATAGCTTATCACATTGTTAGTTGATTCAAGACTTATAGAGAATAATATACCAGTAATGTAAAAAGGCACCTGTTTCCCTAAATTCTAGGTGACAAGGGGGTTAATTTGCTGATTTTTTTTCTAGTTAAAACAATCACTTTTGTGAACCAAAGAAAGTGTTTCTTAGCTCCATCATCCACTGAAGGGAACAGCAGCACTCTGAGCCTAACCCAGACATCACTCATGTGACTGTGTGTTCAAGCACATGCCAGGAAACCTACTGCCCAGGCCTCCACCTGCAAATCACGGTCCAGGCACTATCTCCAAATTTGAGTGGAAGCAGCAGTCAGACATGACATCTGACTAGAAAACACCCCACAAGTAAGAAAGTTAAATTTCTATTCGGTGTTCATTATTTTTCCCTTATAGAAGGCTTCCAGAAGAGCTGATAGGAAACACTAACAGAATTCCTGTGTTTGCGGACAGACATCAGGATAAAGCATGACCCCAAATTATAACCACACACAGCACAGACCACACTCCCCAACACCTGCTCTATTAGATTTGTTCTGTTTTCAAATTTCTCTTCACAGGCACTATCTTATAAAGGAAGTCTGTTATGTTAATATTTGCTTGGTTATTTTCCTTAAAATTCAAAAAGGGCTACTGTATTTCCACATATCATACTTTTAATAGGCATGGGACCCCTTTCAGATACGATGCTTTAAGTCATAGGAAAATGATTTACAGAGATGACTCTTCTCCCCTCCGCCCCCCACCCTGGCCTCCCCTATCATTTTAGGAATGAATCTGTTTTTTAAGGCCAAGCTTATTTTCAATTTGTTTTAACCTTCGGGGAAAATACAGAGAGAAAAACAATCCATGAAGTAAAAGCTGGAATATAGGGAAGGATTATCTTAGCATCTTCTGGGTGAACAGTGAAATCAGCTGGCTGCTGGGTCCCATCCCACTTTCTGGCCTGTTCCCACCAGCACCCGAGATGGTTATTCTCAGNAAGGCCAAGCTTATTTTCAATTTGTTTTAACCTTCGGGGAAAATACAGAGAGAAAAACAATCCATGAAGTAAAAGCTGGAATATAGGGAAGGATTATCTTAGCATCTTCTGGGTGAACAGTGAAATCAGCTGGCTGCTGGGTCCCATCCCACTTTCTGGCCTGTTCCCACCAGCACCCGAGATGGTTATTCTCAGCTTTAGTGAGAGAAAAGGGGAGATCTGGCTAGAGGGTGCTCCCTAAAGCTGTGGCTCCACCTCGGGCACCTCCCTTTCCCAGAGGTGACAACACACCCCAGCAAGCGCAGGATTTGGAGAGACAGAGGGCTGGAGGAGTGGATTCCTCCTGCTGCAAGGGCTGTGCTGGCCCCACAGCTCATTTCCAACCTTCAAAGTCTGCTCACTGCTGAGGCAGAGAAGAGACGGTGAGAGTCAAGGCCAGTGAGGCCTCGAGTTCGGAAAGGCAAAGCAGAAAGACACTGGGCTTGCTTCCAGTCCTGGCTCTGCTGGGAGCTAGCTATGTGAGCTCAGGCAAGTCAACTCCTGGGCCCACTG